TAACTTTTAACTTCACTAAGTACTCTTCATGTTTTTTTTTACTAAAGAACTTATTTTAAAACTCCCTAGACAGTGAACTCCTGACCTACAAATAAAATCTTTTACTATAAATTGTCAAAGTACTTAGTACTTGTTCCTAGTGGTAATAAGAAGTAGTGGAAATAGTCACAAAAGTGAAAGAAAACCTGCTGTATTTGTAAGAGAAGTCTTTCATAGAAATCTGAAAGGTTTTAGTGTTGTGGCTAAAAATAATTGTTCTTGTTTTTACCTTCTGTGTCACCCTTTTCATTTTTCATTCTAAAAGATTTTGAAAGCAGCTGACTAGACTTTTTATTCTAAAATACTGTACTCTTGTATTTGATAATTCTTAGTATAGGTATGAGGAAATAAACACATTTCAGCTTTAATTTATAAACAGTGTTTGGTACACTTTTTTCTTTTGGTGCTGGGAATCAAACTCAGCCTTGTACATACTAGGTAATTGCTGTACTTCTCAGGTGTATCCCCAACCCAGTACACATTTTTTTTTTTTGGACAAGATCTCACTGTAGGTTAGGATGGCCCCAAACTCACAGCAATCCTCCTGCCTCAGCTTCCCTGCCTTGGCCTGAGCTTATAGGTGTGTGCCACCACCCACCACGCCTGGCAAAAAAAAAAATTTTTTTTAAACAGAATTAAAATGAAAACTCATTTCTTCCCTCCCACTCTATCTTTGAGATACCTTTAAACTTGGAGAAATAGTGCAAAAGAATTCTGTACACCTTCACCTAGAATCATTGCTGTAACCTGCTTTTGGTGGTGCTGGCACTCTCAGCAGGTTTTCTACCATTGAGCTATAGCCTCCTTTCCAGTGTAGCATTTTGCCACAGTTGCCTTATCATTCCTTTTGGAAATGTGTGTAATAATTTTTCTCAAGCCACTTAACAGTAAAGTACCAGGCATCATGCCTCTTGCACTTATGTAGCCATAGTACAGTGATCAAAATGTAACACTGACATAGTACTGCTGTTATTTAGATTTTATCAAGCTTCAGATTTTTCTAGGTTTTTTTTTTTTTTGGCGGTGGGGGGTGGGGCACAGGTGTTCGTTCACATTATGTTACCCAGGCTGGCCTCAAATTCCTGGGTTCAAGTGATCCTTCTTTAGTCTTCCTAGGGCAGCTGGGACTACAGGTGTTTTCTGTGTTGCCTGGCTCCCAGTTGATAGTAAGATTCTTTGTGGTCTAGGTTCCAGTTAAGTCTTAATCTTTGATGATTTTATGTGCTTCTCAGTAGATCACTTAAGAGGTACAAGGTGTCTGTTTATGCTGTCATTGGTAATGCTAACCTTGATCATTTGTGTGTACGGTGTCATCCACCAGGCTGTCCATTGTAAAGTTACTATTTTTTTCCTTTTAATAGATGGGAAAATATGGGGCCGGGGATTTAGCTCAGCGGTTTGGTGGCCTGCCTTGCAAGCGCAAGGACCCGAGTTCAATCCCCAGTACCAAAAACAAAACAAAACAGATGGGAAAATAGTTGAGATTATGTAGTAAACACCTTGTTCTTCATCAGCATTTCACTCTTTTAACATGTATTGATAAATCTCACCCAATTATTATGAGAGTTGGTTTACTTAATACTAACATTTTATGATGTTGAAGTTGAAGATTTGGCTAGTGGAAAGACCTTCAAGCAGGAGCCCAGTGATTCTTAGTATTTCCAAGTCTGAATTTCTTTCCCCCCCCCTGGTACAGGGAATCAAACTCAGGACTTTGTGCTTTTGAGGCCCGTGTGGTGCCACTGAGCTCAATTCCTGGCCCTAAGTCTGAAATTTTAACTGAAAACAATATTTTAAAAATTAATTTTAGGGCCAGGGATTGAGCTCAGTGGTGCTGCACCTGCCTGGCTAGCACAAGGTGCTGAGTTCAATTTCCAAGACCCAAAAACCCCCAAAATAATTGATTTTGTTTTTAATACCACCACCACCACCACCACGTAGTGGGCAATGAACTCAGGAACTTTGCGTTAAGCTACATCTCCATCCTTTTATTTTATTTTGAGATAGGGTGGCTATGCTCAAATTTGTAATCCTGTCTCAGCCTCCCAGAGTCTTTGCACTGAACCATATCCTCAGCCTCTTTTTACTACTCTGAGACAGGATCCCCATAAATCACTATTAAGTTCCCTAGGCTGGAGAATTGTATTCTCCAGCTTCAGCCTCTCAGAATGTGGAGGTTACAGGCATATGCCTCTATGCTGGTTTGGAGCACTTTCTTGATGTTGTTGAGGGTTTTAAGATAGCTAATGTTTGTTGTTGGCTTTTTTTTTTTTTTTTAAAGACTGGGAGAATATTGCTATGTAGTTTAGGCTGGCCTCAAACTTGTGCTGATCCTCCTGCCTCTCAGCCTTTTAAGTGCTGAGATTATAGGTGTTTGCCACCACACTTGGACCAATGCCAGTTATTTGTAACATTTGCATCATTTAAAGATTTAAGCATTTGGATAAGCCTGGTAGTACAAGCTTGTAATCCCAGTACTCTAGGAGACTGAAGCAGGAAAATTGAAGGTTTGAGTCTAGGCAATTTAGTGAGACTTTTTCTCAAAAATGTTTTTTAAAGGGTTGAGGGGTTAGGGATGTAACTCATTGTGAAGGCCCTGAGTTCAATCCCACCACTGTCTCCCCCCGCCAAAAAACAACCTTCTGGTATATGGGTTTATAATAGGACCCTGCTTATACTTGCCCTTTTGATATCGTGTAGTTGTGTGGTTAATTGGGTCACATCAGCTTTCTTTTTTAAAAAAAATACCCAAGGGAAAATTAGACATAGGTGTTCATGGGACTTAGAATTTATTGCATGTTATAAGAAGGAACAAACTTTGTGTTTAAAAAAATAGGATGAACTGCATGCCTGTAATCCCAGCATATTTTGGAGGCTGAGGCATGAGGATCGCTATGAGTTCGAGACCAGCCTGGACTACATAGTGAGTTCCAGGTCAGTCTCAACTACATAGTGAGACCCTGTCTCAAAGAACCAAAAAAAAAAAAAAAAAAGATGATGCAGCTGAGTGTGGTCTTGTGCAGTACATACCTATAAACCCAGCTACTTGAAGCTGAGGCGGGGATCACAGTTCTGAGGCTAGCTTGGTCAACTTAGCAAGAACCTTTCTCAAAATAAAATAAGGATTGGTTATATAACTTAGTGGTAGAGCACTCACCTGACATGTGCAAGGCCCTGGGTTCAGTCCCTAGCACCACCAAAAAGAAAAGATCAGATGAAGCAGTAAGTATAATTGCATGGTGCCAACATGAATTTTTCTCTATTTTAAAAGCCTGTTAGTAAGCATGCTGTTGATTTATATTTTTCTTAGAATCTGGTGCAGCAGTGATGCCGAGTTACATTAAGTGTTCTAATTTAGCATTACAATTTGTGGCAAATACATTTTTCTGTATTTGTGGAGTTAAATTATCTTAAGAGATAATAGGAGTTACATGTAGTGGTCTTTGCCTCTAATCCCAGCACTCTGGGAAGTTGAACCAGGAAGATTGTAAATTCAAAAGTAGTTTGAGATTAGCTGAAAACTTGGTTTTTTATGTTTTAGGAGGTTTTTGTTTTTGTGGTATCAGGAATCGAACCCAGGGTCTCATGCATGCTAGGCAAGTGCTCTATCTCTTCTAGAGGTTTTGATCTAGTTGGGACTATGTTTACCTAAAACAAGATAGAGGGCAGTTTATTTTTCAGTTGTGGATGTAGATTTAGTAGAAAGACATGGAAAGCTGTAGTAGATAAGGGAATCTCAGAGGACAGGATGTTTGAGCTATAATTTGAAGGACATAAGAGAAAAAGCCAGATATTCTTAGCTTAAAGGTAAAATCAGGGATGAGATCAGTTAATTAACTAAAGACAAGCTCTTATTATGTAGTCCAGGCTGGCCTTGAACTAAATGTGTAGCTGAGGCTGGCCTCAAAGTGATCCTACTGCCTCAGCCTCCGAACTGGGATTATAGATGTGTACCACCATGCCCAGCTCTCAGCTCATTAATTTTCCACAACCCTGTGAAGTACATCTTTTTTT